TTCTGTCTTTGGCCTATTAAAAGAAAGACAAGCAAACCAAGAAAACACATTTTCTAGTACTGTCAGAGGGTACTATAACATGTGTGTCTCAGTCATTTTTAAATATGAAGTACTGCAATGATATGATATGGTACTGAGTGAATATAAAAATCACATCCCAGATTACCGTTTGTGACTCAAGAGAAAAAGACACTGATATCTCAAAATGTTATCAGGAATCAAAGTCACGGGAAATCAAGCAGAGACATTCTGACCTTTTCCTCTATCCACGACTCGATTGAAGTCTTATTTCGAAGGATGACTTTCATCTGAAAAGGACACACACTCATTATCAGAGTCAGCAATCTCTCGGCCTATATTTCCTTAAATAAACTGCTTTGTTATTGGAGTATTGAATGGAGCTGGATATATACTACACATGTCCAAACTTTAAACTTATAAAATTGGTTTCACTCTTTCTTGCTTAAGAAAATTCAGTTACCATTTATTTATTACAGCTATGCAGTTTATCTTTTTTATGCTATGCACTGTCTTTATTTGTCCCTTTATGTTATGTTAACAATTTTTGTTACATTATTTGCAAATAAATAGGTAGGAGTATGGATCCATGCATTTGCAGAATTCTAACCCATTTTTTTTTCTGATATGCCTACATACGCCACAATATGCTCTCTGGTCAGATCTTCACCAGATGGTTTCCACACTGCTCTTGTCTTGAAGTGAAAACATGGCTTGCAAGATGTAATGTGGCTTTGTAGGATAATGAGTAAAATAATCAGACAAATGTATGTCTTTCTCTTTTCTTTTTTTTTTAACCAAAAGCTTGTTAAGTTTGCAAAACTTAGGAAAAACTCACCTGTATAACGAAAAGCATACCAACGGCAATAGTGGTGCCAAGTGCCAAACCTAAGGCAAAGAGTGTAGCAGCAAAGGCAGGCACACTGAAGGGCATGAGGGGCTGAAATTGACGCACAGCACTCATGTCAATCCTTACAGTACTCCAGCCGAATGATATCTGCAGTGAAGAAAGAGGAAACAGCTTTATTAGCCTGGTGGGGGTTCGGCCTAGAACTGTGATAACAGGACATCAAAAGCATGGTGGGGCCAGCGCAGGTGACAGCTCACCCTCTCATACAGCTGTGTGTACATAGTCATAATGAAGATAACGGCAGCGTGTGAGCAACCCAGTGGAGCCAGGAGCAGGAAGCTGGTGAAGTAGGCGTGATTCAAGTGGCCACAGCAGTTGTTGATCCAGGGGCAGTGGTGGTCCATTTTCATCACGCACCTGAAGGAATGGAGATGAGGAGGAGTAACAGGACATAAGAGTAATAATCTGCGGTCAAAGCTCATTTTTCAATCATCATACAACTGCAAAAACAGACATTTCACATCAATAGACAATCACTAATGATGTGCTCTAAGGTATGGAGCACTCTAATGGAGTGATACTTGCATGAGAGGAAATAACATGCACTTAAGGGATGTTTTCTTCTGAAATAGTAGTTTGGTGTGCTGCCAATAGCTCAGTAATTTTGCAGCTGTAATGCCCCGTTCCTGAACCAATTTCTTTGGTCACAAGTCAGTGTTTTTCCATCGCAAAGAATTTTTTTGCCACTCCCCAAAACCTTTTTAGTCAGCAACCAAAGGAGAAGCTCCCCTCTCATTCACTGCCACACTATTTTGTACAGGTGAACCGTTTTGACTGTGTTTAATAAATAAATTTAATAATAAATGTAAATACCTGTTACACTTTCGACAGTGGTGGGACCTGGGAGCCTTGTAGCCTTGACACCCTCTGCAGAACTGTAGGTACTGGGTATCCTGCTGATTTTCCTGTTTCAGCATAGACACATGTGTCAGATAATATATGGATTTATAACATTTAAATAAGTTCATGCTTGCTAATGTTTGTGTGCTAAAAAATTATATGAACTTATCCTTACTGGTTTCCAGCCAAGAGGAATGTATCCAGGTCCAACAAACATAGCATTGAAGTAGTTGTAAAGTATGAGGACAGTCCAGTTGATGAGCATGATGAAGTTAATGCTCCCCCCTGTAGTGTCTAGAGGCCAGTACCAGATAATGGAGTCTAGAATTGCCATTGTGGAGCATATAGCAATGACAGACAAGGCTATGATTGGACCCCAGTGGCACAATCTCCGAACCTCATGGAGGTTCTTAAAGGTCACAAAGGTTGACAGGAAGTTCATTTTTTCAGAGCTAGTTTAATTCTAGTATTTTGGCTGCTGGACTCCAGAAATTTCAAATGTCAATGTATTAGTGTTTTGCTCTGCTATCTCCCAAAGTCACGGGTAGAGGTGATACACATATTTTTTCTCGTCCTCTGAGTATCCAGGAACAGGCCCAGTCTTGAACTACTGACGCGTTCTGTGTCCCACGATTTCTTGTCCTGGCAGAGAGCAGCATCCTCTCTTGTCAATCCCTGAAGCACACGGTCTTTGTGATGGACTCAAGTTTCCCATCTGAAAGAGAGGGGGAAAGCAGTTTTAAATCATAAGCAGTGAAATTAATTAGCGACAGAGCCAGGAGTCACATCAAGCTAATGTTTTTTCAGTAGTTACATGTGTCACCTGTCCCAATATTTCTGTTATGGTAACAAACAACAGCTGATAACTAGGGACCTTTTTATTTGGGATCTATACATACTCAGTTAGATGACCTTTCTGAAATAATTAAAGAATTTTCAAAAGCTTATTAAGTCTTGTTTAATTGGGATTGTTTTGCAAAAGTATTGTGAAAAATTATTTGACTGATTTCTTAGTTTTTTTTTGCATCTTTATCACACGTGCATTTTCATTGTCTAATATTATATTTTGTTTTAAAAATAAAAAAATGCCATCTTTAAAACAAACTGTCTAGAAATAGTTGCCAACCTTGTTAAATCATGAACTTTTTTTTCTTTTAACTGAGTTCATTTTCACCAACCTGATTACTGCCAGACCTGTTGAATCAAGAAATCATTTCAATAGAGACTATCTGACAAAAATTAACGTAGTCTAAAAGATGTCAAAAATATCAACATATCATGGCACAATAAAAAGAAACAAGTGAGAAACAAAGTCATAGCCATCTATCAGTCTGGAAAGGGTTACAGAGCTCATCTAAGGCTTTGGGACTCCAGTGAACCATTATCCACAAATGGAGAAAACTTAAGAGCAGTGGTGAACCTCCTAGTCTCCGGCCTACCAAAAAACTCCAACATCAGTGTTCATTATTCAACAATAAGACAGGGATCAGGGAAAAAATCCATGGGAGCGTTCCTAGTCGAAACTGCTCAAAAATAACACAAAGCCTCATCTCATATTTGACAAAAACCATCTTGAAGATCCAAAAGACTTATGGGAAAATTTTTCTGGGAACTGAGAAGACACAAGTCTAATTTTTTGGAAGGTTTTGTCCTGTTACAGGTGGCATAAAACTAGCACAGCATTTCATAAAAAGAACATTATAGAAACAGCTAAACATGGTAGTGGTCCTGCTGCTTCAGGACCAGAATGACTTACTGATGGAACCATGAATTTTAATATCTGAAAGAAATTCCTAGTAGAATGTCCAACCTTCAGTTTGAGTCCTGAAGCTCAAGCCCACCTAGGTTATGCAGCAGGACAATGACATGAGAAACACTTGCAAGTCTACCGCTGAATGGTTAAAAATAAACCAAAATAACATTTTTGGAGTTGCCAAGTCAAATTCTGGACTTTAATCCGATTGAGATGCTTTGGCATGATCTTAAACATGCTCAAAAAACCTTCAATTTGGCTGAATCAAAACAATTATGCAAAAAAAGAGTGGACGGAAATTGCTCCACATCAACGTGAAAGACGGATTGACAGTTATAACAAATGCTTGACTACAGTTCTTGCTGTCAAGGTTGACACAACCACTTATTAGTTTTAGAGGGCAATTACCTTTTCATACAGGGCTACGTAGGTTTGGATACCCCCTCCCCCCATTAAGAAATGAAAGTATCCTATAAAAACTGCATTTTGCATTTACTCGTGTTATCTTTGTCTAATGTTAAAAGTTGTTTGATTACCTGAAACATGTAAATGTGACAAATGTGCAAAATACTTTTTCACAACACAACTTATGTCATACTGCTAATGAAAAAGATGTTATTCGTGCTTTAAAAAAACAGAAACAACTCCTCGGTAGTTGCAATAAAAATACTGAACAATCATGACTAACATTTTTAGCTAATGACTTAAAAGCACGTACACAAACGGCAATAAAACACACCACACTAATGTAGACAGTGCTGGATTTGTATTAATATTAAATTACCAAACTAAAAGCAGAACCACAGCATTTGCTTCATTGACTAATTAGCTTGTGTTACCAAGCTAGCTAATTCTCGCCAGAAAAAAAAAGATTAATAACTACGATTTATATGCAAGTCTTCTATCCATCACTGCACAGTAATGGACAGAAAACTATGCGTTAGACAACTCCGCTTTTAAAAAAAATCAACAGACAGGTGATAAGTTTATGCCTTTAGCTCTAAAATTGTGTTTCCGTTAGCACCGTGGGTTCAGCAGTTATCGTTAGATAGCTAGCCTAGTCACCAACATAAACACTAATAACGTAGCATGCTGAACACTTACCACGAGGGGCAAACAGAAAACAAAGATAACCTAAATGACAAATGCTTTGTTTTTAATAAATAGAAACAAAAGGCTGTCACTTTAAATCACCAACCTGGTCACTTCCTTATTTTTTTCATAAAATTTTCCTGTGTACAGTGAGGAACCTTCTTCATGGTGTCTCAGAAACTAATACCCTCTACCACTTGTAGATACCTTTTAATCCAAGTAGTAGTCTATCACCGAAACGGCACAGAACTACAAGAGTTATTCATGTATTCAAATTCGGGCTGAAATTATTAGCATTTTCTGTCCATTTTTCGAACCTTTTTCAGTGTCGAAAACGTGAAAACAAAGTCAAGTTCCTTACCGAGCACATTATACTGTGACTCAAGGAAGAAGCTCCATTCGAGGCTTGTTGTTATTCTGAGCTAACTGTCAACCAGAAAGCTAGTTACCTGTTGTAAACTCGACTACCAGAATGTCTTCAGACTTTGAAGCATACGAGCAGGACTTTGGAACAATTACCGCAGAAATAACTAATAAAATTGGCCGAATTCCCAAACTAAGTGGAGGTAAGAGTTTCATTTATAAGCTTTTAAAGCTCATCTGGCTTGCTAGCTCCAGTCTCAGCTGACAAGGCAGCTAACGGTAGCGATAATGTGATTTCATCCAAATATTGGTCAAACTAGTGGTGAAACACAGCTATATAAAAATAGTTTTTGTTATATAAAAAGAATGTGACATGTATTTGTGGCCGTCTTCTTATCTTGGTATGTCTTTGATAGGTTTAGCCGGTGTGAAAATAGTGTTAAAGAACATCCTAACTCTGTTTATGGTGTTCAGAAGAGGATAGAAGCTTCAAATCACTTTAATGAGTAGGTTAATATTAATTGAAACTATTCAACTGAAGTAATCTTTTAGTGTTATCATAGTGATTTAGTGTATGACATTCTTGCCAATACTTACCATAAAGAAAAACCTATGGATGTTTTTGTGGACAATCATCGTTGGAAAAGTTAAGTTTTGGAATGGCACTGATATCACTGCAACTTTCAATGACACTTTTGGGGAGTGTTGTTTTTAGTTTTACTGTGGATTTCAGTTTTAGCCAGTTTAAAGATAATTCAGCCTTTTGATACCAGCAAGTTTGAAAGCATACGTTTCTTAATATGTTAGCAAGGGCCTAGTAACTAATATGATGGACTAATAACTTTATCCTGGTATTGACTTAAATATTTAAAAGCGTGTCTTTGGTTGACTATTTATTTAGCTCTTTACATTCCATTCACTTTTATTTATCTAGCGTTAAATCATAACAGCAGTCACTGAAGGTACTTGGATTAGAGCAATGTAACCTTCAGTGGACGGCTTTTCCAGCAAAAGGTTAGCAGTTTCAGAAATTTTCTCATTGATCTTCAGAACACAGTCCTGGATGCAGCTGTAGATGGTGTACTCTGGTTCATCCGTGCATGCTGTCCAGCTCAAAGGACAGTGTATCAGCGGCGAGGTCCATAGTAGAAGTTACAGAGGGGTTTGAGGTGGGATTACATCAAGCATCAGGCCTGAGTTCCTTCTTGTTTGCAGTGATAATGGACAGGTTGATAGATGAGGTCAGGGAGGAGTCTCTGTGGACTTTCATGTTCACAGATGACATTTTGATCTGCAGTTACAGTAGGGAGCAGGTTTAAGAGGTCCTGGAGGTAAGTTGAGGTATGGACTACAAAGAATAGGAGTGAAAGTCAATAGACAAGACAGAATACATGTGTGTGAATAAGAGGGAGACAGATGTAACAGTTAAGATGGATGAGTTTAAATAAAAGCAATTCACAGTGCACAAGAAAAGTTAAGAAAGGAGTACAGGAGAGGTGGAATAGTGTCAGAGTTTATTTGTGACAGACGGACAACAGCAAGAGTAAAAGGAAAGGTTTTTCGAGACGGTATTGAGACCTGCTATGATGTATGATTTGGAGACAGATCATTAATAAAACCACACAAGACAGAAAGTTGTTAAGATGTTTTTGGGAAGTGGCCAGAATGGATTAGATTAGAACTGAGTACATCAGAGTTTCAGCTCGGATTGAGCAGTTTGCCTACAAAGGTGGAGAGAAAAGGCTGAGATGGTTTGGAACTGTGGAGAGCAGGGATAGTGAATGTATTGGACAAAAGGAGGAAAAGAGGAAGACCACAGAAAAGATTCATGCATGTAGTGAAGGCGCACATGATAGGATGAGGTGGAAGCAGATGGTCTGCTGTGACAACCCTTAAAGCGAGCAGCTGTAAGAAGAAGACATTGCTGGTTTCATCAGTTTGTTAAAGTGATAGCATTCTGTCATTCTATCAGACTTAATTCAGACATAACCAAAGCCGCATGTAACACTTTTTGAATGATATATTTAGAATAGATTGTTATTAAATTGTAGCTCTTCAAGTGTGACTTTGTTGATTTTCTAAAATGAAAACACAGGTATCAGCTGGTAGCTTCTGGTCTAGTCTTCTTAGAGTTGTTTTGCCTCTTCATTTGTATGACCCGCAACTCCTTCACTTTTGAAACACTCATTGATAGATTCTGATGCTGTAGGAGTACAAATCTGACTCTGTCTTCATAAACTTTATCACAAAATTTTATTTAAAGATTTTATTCTGTGATATAATTAGAACTGAAAGCTCAACATACATGTGGTCCATGTGTGCTTCCAGCAATTAATGCCGTGTTCACACCACTGATAAGAAGCTACAAACTGACGCCTGACACTTGTTGATGCTTTATATGCATCAAATCAAAGTTGAGCTGACGTCCATTTTTTTTCTTCAACCTATCATATGCTTGATGCAAATAAACACTTGAGCGACACTTCCGTAGCAAACCAGTGACAGTGTCGCTTGTGATGTCTGTCTGTCTTTGTAACTTTGTCTGGTTGTGAGAATTTAACATTAAGGCATGCAAATTGTGTCTTCTAAGCTCTCTTTGATGTTTAAGGAGGATTATTATTCTGTTGAAATGTGGAAAGAGCATTATGTTCTAATTTTGTTTTGTACAATAGGAAGCCTCTTTAACATGTCTGACCACAATTTTGATAAAGGTGTAGCTTTGAAACTTTCTTGAGATAACTTTGGGCAGCTGGAGAACACCTTATTACTGTATAGGATATTCTCCTATATAGTCATGTCTTATTGAGCTGGGGAACTTAAGATGCTGGAGAGACATCTGCATAGTGGTAATCTTTTTATAGTTGGTTAGTTTTTGAAAATTTTACTTGTTCAGACCTATTAAGACTGCTGTTTGTGGAACGACTTTGGGTATTTCTCCCCTCTTCTGCTCTGCGTGTATCAGTTTTGGAGGAGAAGCAGAAGAGACATACACATGCTTGCATACACAGTGAAACAGACAGCAGAGGAGAGAAACAAAACTGCATTGGACTCTTTTGAACTGAGCTAAAATAAAACATGTGCACAAATATTGATAGTATCAATAGCAATTCTGGTATTGATACTCAGAGCGATACTTTAAAAAAAAAAATCCCCTTAAGTTCAGTATGTAGCCCTCTGAATTGTATTAAATTAATTAATTAAATTTAATAATTTTTTTGGAAATGGAAAAAATATACCTCAAACATACACTATGAAAAATGTCAAACAACAGAAGTTGACATGACCTTTAGAGACGGGCACATTTACATTCTAGGTCTCAAAAAAACTCAGTTTGGAAAAAAACATGAAAAGGTGTATTTTGTTTTGTTAACCAGTTATTAATGAAAGTAAAAATCAGAGTGTGTTAATAGTCACTATTTGCAAATTGATGATGAGCCATCTTTTAAGTCGTGAGTGACTGCTCTCCCCAGCATAAGCTGCCTATCTAGGTTTAAAGTATCAGTACTGGCAATTTTGGCCCTGTATTTACTTGGTATCAGATCAATACTAAAATCTGCAATATCGCACCGCACTACTTGACTACATTTTCAGATAGCAATATGTTGTTAATGTTAGATAGACCTCTTTACTCATCACCAGTTCTCATACTTGGTTCTGTAGGTTTCAGACATATGAAATCCTGACTGTCTGAGCCTGTTTTTGATACTGTAATTTATATTCTGCAGGATCTAGGCACGAATGCATGGCTTTGACTTTTTTCTTTGAAAGGAGTCTTTAAAATGTATTTATGTTTACATTTCTGTACTGTGAAGCCCTGCACTAAAAGAGGGTTTAGAGGTGGGTTAAAACCTACAGATGTTGTTAACCACCTGGCTCTGGGTCTTCCCATCTTGTTTTTCCTACATGTAGATTTACCAGATTGCTGCATTAGTGTTTTGGTGGCAGGCAGGCAGCTGAAAGACGGGCAGCTTGTGGATTTGGCTAAGCCTGGAAGGGAAACATGAGTTTGGATGACATGGAAAAGGCCAGAGCTAGTTGGCCAGTTGTGATTTAACTTTAAAATGTAATACTTTTACTTAACATACCCATAAATGAATGTAGACATATCAATGGGTAATACTTTCCTATTTAAAATGACTTAATACAAAGAATAGATAATAGAATGCGTAATAGAAAGTTGAGCTTCAGTTGCTCCCTTATTTCACAAGGGATCACCACAGTAAATAGCTCCACTATTGACATTGCAGATTTTTTTAAAACCCCAGATTCCCTTCCTGATGGAACCCCACAGGGATTTATGTCTCCTCCTGGGATCGAACGTATCGTTTGCTTGTTAGGCAGATGTATAAACAGCTACACTGTCATCTGACACCACTCAATACCAATCACAGTTATAAGCTGAGACAAAATAGTCATTGAGTTTGTATTTGTTTTCTCAGTGCAAGAGCCTTTCTGCACAGCACCTTCTTCCATTTTTACGGTCACTTTTCAAAATTAAATGGTATTTTGCAGTGTGAAATACACTGGGTGTTTTTAGTTTACAGCTACACTAAGCCAAAATGGTGGGAAATATATATCTAAAGGTGGATATGACAATTAATTTAAGGCTGAACTACTACATATTAAAATTTTGGTGTCCACACCTAACTGAGTAGGAGCAACCGTTATTACTACTTACTTACAGTGAGTGTTAACTAGTAGTTTGTTTTAAGTTTTCAGATTTCATATGTGGAAGCTTTATCTCTTCCTCTCGGCTCACACTTGCTCATTGGGTTTTCAAAGGCGCTGCTCTCACAAAACCTCGCTTGACTGAATATTTCTGGTTTGGAATTGGCATGTCTGAAGACTCATGGCAGCCCATTCCGCAGAGTAATTTCTCATTGCTTCCTCTCACCATCTGTTGACTGTGTCAGAGGAAGCCTGTATGAATATGTACAAAGCTAGAAAATGCATTACAACCATAAGTAGTTGTTGTGTGTTTTCTGACACCAATGGAATAGTTTACAGTTGAATTTCAATTCCCTTCCTACTCATTAAGTTTTTCTTAAGTTCTTTTGGCTCTTCTTACCCAAGTGGATGCATTTTGCCCATGATATCCCCTCTGTTCAATATTTTAAAAAGGAACCATAACATTGTTCTTGTAGTTTATTACTTTTACTTGGCATGTTATGTTGTTGATAATGGCCATGGCATGTGGAAAACATGACCTAGATGCTCACAAAACAATAAAAAAAATATTTATACATTAATTTTTGTATATTATTTATTTGCAACATTGCTCCAAAACTCAACATCAAGAAGAAATTTGAATAAGAATACTATGAACAGAACAAGACTCAACATCCTTGTTCTATTAAACATGGCTCCAAGTTTTCACTTTTGAATGTTCATGGCAAGAGATTATTTGTCAATCACTGGCATTGAAATATGAAACATAAAAAGTAAAAGAAAAATACCAAGCCCTTTGTTTTCTTTATTTTTGCCTTACTTCTGTGTACAAAACTCCTCATCCGTCTGTCAGCAGGTTCTAGTCTTGGTAAATAGCCATACATATTTCACAGCCCTCTAGCTCGGGCCTGAGCCTGAGTACGAAAGCGTCATCTCATCTTTCACTGAATTGCCTCTGGCTGTTTACTATAGAGGTTGTAAGGTTGGACACAGGTTTTAAAAATGAATTTAAGGGCCATGTTGGCCTATGGCACCTGAGAAACGAAGATCTTGGCTTAGCTTTTTTTATTGCAGTCCCACAGCTGGGTATTCTTGTGATTTACTTTTGTTTGTATTTTACCTAGAATGCTTTTCATACTTTGCTTTTAAACCTTTATTAGAATACATCTGTTGGGGTTTCAAAAGCAAATAACATTTTCAGAATTTCTTAATTACTGTAAAAAATGTAAGATTGGTTCGACTTTGTAGGCATCACCTCTTAACATTTACCATCTGTACTCAATACTGAGCTGGTGTTTAAGATGCTGCACTTTTTGTAATGATACATTTTATCTGTGAATTTATAATTATGTCACTTTTTGTTTTCTGGGATTTAAAAAAAAAAAGAGTAATAATTAACAGAATTTTTATTGTCAGTATATCAGGTCCACAGGTGTCCTCTTAAACTGTTAAACCAAATATACTACAAGATCAGCACTTTGACTGACTGTTGTGATGTTACAAATGTACTCTAAACTATTTAAAATTTAGTATGATATATCTCACACCATGGTTAGCAAAAGATTTCCACAACACCTCAAGTCTGGGATGGTTCTAACATTAGTTTGGCTTCGCTTTTGCATTACATTGATCGCTTTGTCTTTTTCCTCGAACTGTTGTGTGGTGGGTGCATTGTTCCACTTAAGGGAGGCTGCTGCTGCTGGGGAGTGCTGTTACCACAGGGGTGTGCAACAATGACATATGGTGGATGTGTGATAAAGTAACATGCACATAAATCTCTTAACCCAAAGTTTCTAAAGTAAAGGCTGCATGTTAAGATGACATTAAATGTTATTTTCTTTACCCTCTTTTATATTTTTTATGTTATTAATGGTATTTATGCATAAGAGAATTTATTTCCTAACTTCATTTTTTTGTTTTCTTTATCATTATTAAACTATATGTGTAAGTTGCTTATACTTTATATCAAAGCCTTGGGCAATGGTCTTTTCTTTTCTTTTTTTTCTTGTTTTAAGTTAACATAAATATGCTTGATTAGTAAACACCATACCGCATACCATGAACAAACAAAATCTTTGGCCAGGATCTAATTTCAGGACAAAGACTAGTTCATGTAGATGTAGGGAAAGTGATAATGCCGTTGCCTTAAATAACTGTTGGAAGCGCTGTAGTTTGCATGCTGCTCTGGAACTCTTAAGTCCTAATGAGTTTCAATGGGTAATGTGGTAGAGCAGCCATGGGGTGAGGTGTAGAACAGTGCGTTAGTCATTCTGAGTGGGACTCATATTTCTGGCAAGTGAGCAAAGCTGACACCTCCCTTCCCTTTGAGTTGGCATGAGGTGTCTCGCTGCTCCTCAACAGAAACCAACAAAGGCCTCATAGACGCCAATAACTAAGAGACATCAAATGTTGGCTCGTCGTGTGGAGAGAATGTGTAAATATATCTTCAAATGTGTCCTCGTGTGTTGTTTTCTCCCAGCCTCTTTCTTTCTCTCTCCCCCTCTCTTCCCCCGTTGCGGGGGAGTTAGGCTGTTGTCATGAAGCGCTGTTCCTCCGTCGGCTGATCAATATGTTGCTGGGTTTTTTTTCTCTTTCAGAGGAGAAGACACAGCTGGTTCTAAATGTCGACAAACAGCTTGAAGAAGTCAGAGAGTTGGTATGTCTTTGATCAGTAATTTTCTCCTCTTCCCATTTCCTAAATAATGAATTTGTGGAAAGAGGGAGGGGACAATTTTCACTGGCACCAGACAACAGCACCTGTATTATCCTGGTGGTGACATGAGATGTAGACATAACACACATGCACACATACTTCACATGGCGGAAAGGAGGCTTCCTCCTCATATGATTACTTTCCCATAATCTGCTTTTAAGTGACACCCCTATGACACATTTCAAGCCATTATCTTGGGTGGGTGTCTTCATGTTGCTGTTTAAACATGAGCAAAGTCACCTGACAGAAACAAATTGTTGTTGCGGTTGTCTTGTTATGCCATAGTGATGAGTTTCCTCCAAATCTGCCACAGAGAGACCTGTCTACCCATGCATCAGATGTACTTTTGCTTCATTCACTCAGACATTGTTGGGCCCATGCGTGTCATGGCAATGAAGGAGCCCTCGTATTTGATTGTGTACTTACAGAACATACTTCCTCTGTTGTAACTTTTATCACAACTGAGTGACACCAGCAGAAGGCGTTTGATTTTACAATCGGCACTGGAGGATATTAAAGTTAATGCTGCTGAAGTTGAATCTGTTCAAAAGTGTTCAAAGGGAGCACACAACTGTAAAACTTGCCCTTAAAATTTTTTTCAGAAAGCTGGTACAGGAAATGTGATCATAAAAAAACCTAAACTTTTAAATGTAAAAATGTACATATACAGTCTATTTTGTACTTTTAATACAATCTGTAAATCTGTAAATCTGTATTATAATGAGCTCTAAATCTGTCACTCTGGCAGTGTTTTATATTCCAAGTATTTCTTTTGATTTTGAAATGACTCTTAAAATTTCTGTTAGGAATGTTTGACTTTAAATGAATTGGATGAATTGTGGGTTTTAGCTGGAGCAGATGGACCTGGAGGTGCGAGAGATCCCCATCCAAAGCAGAGCCATGTACAACAGCAGGCTGAAGAGCTATAAACAGGAGATGGAAAAGCTTGAGAAAGACTTTGTAAGTATTTCAATATGTCATGAAATGTTTTTTTTAATTCTCATGCAAACGCAACAGTTGTAATGTTCTTACTGAGAGTGTAAATGATGCTCCATAATAAATAAGCGTCTATAAACTACTCATCATAAAACAAACACCCCAGCTTTTTTAAACTCAGAAATTAAATTATAAAATAAATGCATATTCAAAGAAATATCATTTGGAAAATTGGTTTGGAACCAGTCACTGCTGACACACACGTGTTGAATTTGTGGGTTACTTTTCTTCCACTCAGACGAGCTGGATGAAGTCCAGAGACTGTGATGGTTTTCCATCTTTTCAAGGCCACCGTGCAGTTCTGTTGTTCCAGTGTTTTGTGTCATTATCTTACCAAAAAGATGAACCTCTGACCAATCGATCTGCCTTCGTTTGTTACTTGTTTTTTTTGTTTTTGTTTTTTGTTTTTGTCACATGTCCAATAGCGAAATACAGTACCGTTTTGTGCATGACCATATTCTGCTAATAATTCTTCAGAGGATGTAGTAACACTTTGTTCCATCACCGCCTTTGTTCAGACACATCGTTTTTGTAAGTAATCAGCAGAATTTGAGGCACGTGCATAAATCCCTTTCATGACATTTCAAGGCTTCACATACTTCCATCGCTCTGCAATAGCTGTAAATTAACCAAATAATTAAACATTAATCCTTGAAAAACACTTCTTTTCTCATGAAATTTGCATCATTATTTATTTATCTTTACTGTTAGAAAAACACCAAAAACTGCGGAGTGTTTGCGTGTAACTCTCACTCTCGCAGTAATTCCTGCACTCACAAACAGACTTGCACTGAAGCTCAGCGGTGCATCCACAGAGGTTAATTCAGAGTTCATATCTGAACTTTCAAGCAATGCCTATCGAGAATGGGTTGTGTGTGTTTGTGTTGTTGCTGCAGAATCTGGCCTTGTTTAGTAATTCATAAATCACTGTATGTCTTGGCTTGATTTATCAAAGCTTAATGAACAGTCTGGTCTTTTGGGTCGCTTGCTTTTAGTCTACATTTTGAGCTACCAATATTGCCCAAGGTACTTCACGTAATCAATAATACTCAGAAATACGCAATTATCCAGTGCAATTGAATCCAAAACTTTTTTAACCTCTTATTTTAATTATTATATCTTTAAATTGATCCTTGTGAAAGCATTTTAAATTGATTGTTGGCATTATAATGTTAAGAAAAATCGTAGTGGTAACGTATCTTTAACTATATCTTTTTTTCTGTGGTTGTTGTTGTTTTCTGTTGTCAGTTTTGTTTTGCTGGTGCTCATAACATGATAATAAACCCGTAGTGTAAGAGCCGTTGACCTTGAGCTTGAGAGCACGTGTCCCTCCACGAGTCAAGTTTTATGTGATTTAAATCCACAGCCTCAGAATGAGTTGGAAAAATATATACTGAATTGTTGAAGTCCTGTTGAGGAAATTCAGCAAAGGCTTCTCCTTAATGTGTTAAGTTTAGATGTTGGCCAAAATAACGAACAAACTTTTCTCCAAACCTTGAAATGAATAAAGTGTGTACTTTTCCACACAAATCTGAACTTTTTCTTCGCTTTTAGAGGATTTATTGGAGGATATTTGGATAGCTCAAGTTTAATGGGAAGGTTTTCAGGAAGTAACGGGAAGCAGTGCAATGATCATCACAAAAATGCACAATGCACAGCCAATATAATCAGAAATCCAAGTGTTGAGTACTTTTGATTTGATAGAAAATGTCAAAATAAAAGTAGCAGTTGTGAGACTCAAAATAGACTTATGCACATATGAAAAAGTACATATTTATTTATGATATACTGCCCATCTATACCTCAGATGACTACTACAGTCCATGCTTTTCACCAACACTCATTATTTTTCTTAAATATTTGTTTGGTATCTAATCATCATTAACCACAAAATACTTTTTATATTCCCCCACCTCACCGCTCCAAACAAGTAAGCATGCACAAACACCGCATTTAGATTCAAATAATATGTGCTAGTGATCTGTGAACACGCCACTGAGATGTGCTAACTGAGATCATAGAAGAGATCTCTGTGCCAAAACAGCTTGCTTTTCTCGCCATAGGCATTTAATTGGCTGACGATTAATCTTTAACTTTTCTTCTCCCCACTCTTACCATGCTTAATCATCAAGCAGCTAACACCTGCTGTGGCCGATATTGGTGCTAATTTTCGTTTCTAGCCTTTTTTCCCTGTCTTACGAGCATGTGCTGGCGACGAAAATTGTTTCTTCACCCTGGCAAAACATGGCATTCCTCCATGCACTTTATAATGCAAAAATCCGGTGTGCACAGTCCTTAGAGAGTATGATGATGTCTAAATTCTTTTTTGCACATCGCTGCATACTTAAGTCGTGTCTGTAATTGCTTGTACTGAAATAAAAAGCAGAAGGTAGCCGTAGGATAATCCGGGTGTCCGGAAAATAAAAAAGCAGTGACTGGCTTCTAACTGTGAGTCTCCCTGTTTGACTGTAATTTCTCTTTTTTACACCTCTGCGTGTGGCGCGGTGAAATCAGCGCACATTTAAACCAGGATCACCCACCTCACAGAGTTACATCTAGTATATCTCGTCTCCCGTAAATCTGATGCAAGTGTTCAGAAGGCAAGAACTTCAGCCCCCTCAGATGTGTCTCAGATGTGCCAAATGCTATAGCTGAGCTCAGCTTCTCACTTCCTGCCGGCCTAGGGAGGACATGACACTCGGCTCGAAAAGGCATCGAGTGGAAAAAAGGGCAATCTCCTTTCTTTTTAATGTAAAAAGCTCCGGCTTTGTTGTGCTTTCTGTGGATATCAAGGCCTTTCCACTCCCTCACTACCAAATCTCCCCCATAACCCACCCCCTACTGGCCTCCCACGGGTGTCTCCCCCCTTAACCTGCTCTCTCATCCTCTCATTCACCCGTGGTTTGAAGTAATTCTACCACTGGTGTGCCAGCTTGAGACCTCATTCCTTCTCCTTTTCAGACAGAGGGCTGGAGTTGACCTCAGAAACCCAGCCATTTCATCCAGAAAGAAAACTTATCAAACAACCACCCCAAAAGGTGTGTGTATGTGTATATATATATATATGGGGATCTCACAGGTGCTGAGCCACGACAAAACAGACATTGTAGTAGCAAAATAAAAAGTAAGCCAAAGTGTACAATAAATAAATAAATAAAAAGGAAATGAAAATCCTATTTGATGGGGTCAGCTTGCTCAAATCAGAGGGAGAAGAATGGCATGGCTCTTAGCAGTGGCTTTGATCAGGGAAAGAGAGCCTAACCTAAGTTTAATTTAATGAAGTCTATTGGGCAAACAGAGCCACTGTTTTCAAAGTGCCAGGTTAGGTCTGTCCCAGTGGGCAAGATGAGGACTCGCAGGCATTGATTGCGTCACGCAAAACACAACTTTAAGTGTGTGAGTGAAACTGGACGCCATGAAATGTGTGATTCGTGTGACTTGTGTATAATGAGGCATCGTAAAGCAACATTGGCTGGAGGATTTAAAGATACATTTGTCAGTCCTGATAAATTTCTCTTATCAGAATATATTTTGAGTACAGAGACCCCTCCTTCCTTTCGCCTGACTATGACAAACTGTTCTTTATCATTGTCAGGTCTCTGATTTATTATGTAGACTCAATAAAAATGAAGAGTTTTCTTTTTTCATTTTAACAACAAAATTGACATTATTTAGATTAGGTCATCATTATTTGGTTACATGACAAACAATCCTCAGGTATTATTGAAAATGAAGTAACTTTATCAATTTCAAGCAAATCTTTTCTAATTTCCTTGCAATTTTTAACACTTTTCTGCTTTTCCAATCATCAGTAAGTAATTAGCTGAATAAGATGCACCGGTGGCTGTAACTTGCAGCCCTAATATCATTGTTATCATTATGTAATTGGTATAAATTCACTGGAATAGCTTTGCCTCAATTATTTAATATAAAATTTCATGAGGAGTATTGATCTCTTTAAGAAAAAAAAATCACAACTCTTGGTCATTACTTTGCAGTAGCTATGAAGTTTAGACAAGTGTCTTCATATTTTTTCTTCCCATTTTAAATCCTGAACCCTTTTGAGAGATTATTCACTGCATGGTTTACTTGGACTATCAGCACACCTCCTGCTGGCAGCAGATGGCGGTGTTGATCTAAGAATTTTCTTTGAGTAAGCTTCAACATCAGGAAGATATTGGGCACATTCACCAATTACTTTGCCCTGCTGATATGTGGTTGGACTTGCTCTGATAAATTCTTCTTACCATTGCTATGCCTAACCTCTGCTTTATGTTTAATATGCAAGATTGAAAATGGTGTCCCTGTGGTGAAAACCTATCTGAGTTCTTGCTTATAAGCTTATAAGTTTATGCATTTTCTTTTCTTTTTCTTTGCTTAATTATGCTTTGAAAAATACTTAAGCAAACAAAACAGAATATAAATTAAATGCCAAGTCCTTGAGAAAGTGAAATGCCTTTTTTAAACATTTCATGCTTTAACTCACAACAATATTCTCATTTCTTCTCTCAACTAGTTCTCCGAATATGTTTCACCTCTTTAGATTGTTTCTTTTTTTTTTTATTATATCCAAATAAACACTACTGGTCTAAATGTTTGTTTGTTAAAAGGTTAATTAATAGTCTTTAAATCTCAAGCTTTGACAAGTTTTGTTGTTGAGACCTTACATCTTTTTGTCATTTATTAAAAAGGAGGTCCTATAATGGTCAAGGCAGTTTTGTTGATGGCACGAGATCCATTGTGTTATGCGTTTTGTTTCATCTTATTGAATTTTGAATAGAAAACTATTTTTGGTTTGTCATAATACGCCACACAATGTTCCATCAAGGACCCACTAACATGTTATCTACATGCCAGTATTTCTTTTGAAACTCATATCGTCACCCGGTCTTATGAGGTCGGAAAATATGTAGGCATAGTACAAATGATTAGTTATTGCAAGATTTGAAAAAATGCGATACAGT